AAGGATGGCAGATACCCAGTTCCTTCCCTTTACAAAATGTAAACATATTTTCTTTACCTCAAACAAGAACTTAATTATCTTCCACCCTCTCCCTTCTATAAAACTTTCCTATCTGTTACATTATTCCTATTTTGTAAATTTGCTACCTCACATTTAATTAAATTTGAAATGTGCTTCAGTAATCAAACTAATTGAAAAAGTGTTTAATCAGAACTTGATTATTTAAGTAGTGTTTGCACTTGCACTTGTTTGGGGTGGGAGGGGGGGAAATGAGGTGGAAACCTGCTTCCTTAGCTAATAGTGGATGTTATGATGGCCATATGGGTCTCAGTGCAGAGGGGATGTATAGACTGTGATTCGGGGTTTGAACTGGACACTCCTGTTGGAAGCCAGCGCTCATTGGTTCCAGTGAGCCTGGGCTGCTATTCATGCTAAACGTCCCTCGTTCCTTCATCATGCATGTGTCTGCTCAGAATGGCTTATGCCACCACTTGTTCAAACATGTTCAGGTTTGTTTCTTTCCCCTTGACTTGGTAAGCTTGGAAGCTGGGAGAACAGAAATATCTGGCTTCTAGTTTGATTTTTAGACAAAGAAATAGCTGTATTCCACAGCAAAAGTTGGTGATATGCTGATTTTAATCAAGGGATTGCAGTTATACCCGAAATTCAGAACAGACTGAAAAAGCCAGTCTTAAGTTGTGTGAAGCAAACCTGTAATATTTCTGTTTACTGGAGTATAAAGTATGGATTTTCACTTCTGGAAGCTTTGTCTCAGGGTAACAGTGGACATGAAGTGATTTCAGCTGTACGCTTGCCCTCTCCATCAGGTGAATAAATGTGGTACTGCTTGGTGCCAAGGGGCAACTTGAGTTAGTGGGGTGATGAATTAATGTTGTGAAGGGAAAGGGGCTGTGCTGCACAGTGCCTTTTTGCTTGTTTTGCTGGTGCTATTAGTCTATTTCTAAGCAACAATTTCACCTATAGCCCTTTCCAACAAGGCAAACAAAAAGAGGTTTCACATCAACAGAGTCCCAGCAGCCCTGGTTGCTTCCAGGCCCCATCAGAAGCTGGCGCCAGCAGTGCTGTGTATAGGTGTGGGTATGAAATGGGGAGAGTGCTGCTATTCTGTGCCCACTTGAGGGGGAAGTTCATGCCTGCATACTCCTGCCAGATTACACTTCTGCACACGTGGCTCAAATGCAATAGTTGCTTGCGTGTCTGCTTTTTTAACCTCAGGGTACCTGAAGGAGTGACTTAAAGCTGTATCTTTGCTTTAGGGCCCTGGTTTTACAGATAGGTAACAAGTTGCATATTCAAGGACATAAAGACATGAGGAAGATGTGAGAATTCAAAGCTTGCCGAGGGTGGTGTTGGAGGTCTGCAAGAGCCAAAACACTCTTATTCAGATTGATTTCCAGGGACAGTCCTGGGACAAACCATGCTCCAAACCGGACCTGATTTGTTTTGGAAGAAACTGCGTAATTCTCTCCGATAGTGAAGCCAGGAGCAAATAGGCACTTACGTACCTTGTGGGATACCAGACACCAGGACCCAAACGTGAAATTGGAAACTGTGCTAGACAAAACTGATGCAATTATTAGTTTCTGTATATGTAAATTTTCTCCTTACCAATAAAAGTCTGAGCTGTTGCTTTTAGATTAAAAGAAAAATGAAAGCAATGTCAACAGTTCAAAAATAAACAATGGTACAGAGTTACTTTTGCTACAAAACTTAGTGGGGTAACTATAGCGATAGGTAAAGCAGCTTGCATGGCAGGGATACTGTGTTATGGTTAGGATTTTATTTTATGGAAATTATTTCTATCCATGAACTACATTAGGCATTTTGTTAAATAAGATGGAAGAAAATATGATTTTTTTAAAGAGTCTTTGCATTCCAGACAGTTGTTCATTTCCATAATCCATTCAGACAGCACACACTGGTTTATCCCATACTGCTCTTGGTAAAGCCCCCATATGCATAGGTTAATATCCAAATGTTTTAAAAAAGCATACTTGTTAATGAACATAGGTATGTGAAAGCCTTCTAGGCTATATGCTGGGAAATCTCTCATTGCTATTCTTATGGAAGTTTGGAGAATAAATCACATTTGCAGCATACTTTTTTTTCAGTGGAGTTTGGAATAGACATTCTTTTGATCCTTTTCAGAAGATACCATAGATTTTAGGATACTAATCTCTATTGTGTTTCTAATTAACCACAAAAACTCTACACCTTTTCTTACTTGGAATAAAGTCAGACTTCCCCATTTGTTTATTTGTGCACTGTCCAAATTTGGTATTTAAAAAAAATAGATGCATAGCTGTTGCTGATTTCATTTTATTCTTTCTTCCTACTCACATCAGTAGCCTTCTGAGATAAGGCTGGATTTTTTTTTTATTCTCATCAGCACATATTTCATAGGGTAGTGTACCAACCTGACTTGAATGATGGTGGAGTTTTGTGGTATATCTTCAGCTCACACATGATTAAATTATATTTCTTCCTGTCTGAATAAGCACTATATTGGAGTAGATTCATACTTAACTCAGAGTTAGGGAAGTGCATGTCGGTATTTCACTTGTGTGGCTCAGCGCAATAAAATATCGGTTTTGATGAGGTAGAGATAGAAAATCATAAAAGTAGAGGGGGAAAAATCAAACATTAACAGTATAGATATAAAGCTGTTCTTTTGAAATGCCACCCAATAATATATATTGCGATCTCAAGTTATTGGAACATAGCTTGGTCAAAACAAGCTCAAGTACTGAGGAAAAAAAAAAATCAAATAATACCTTATTCCTCCCCCTTTTTATTTTTTATTTTTTGGAAGAAGTCTGTTTAACTCTGTTGTGAACATCACTGTTGCACAGTTAAATCTGGAATGCTTCACATGCCATTACATACCACCTCCCTAGGAAAAGTCTTATCTTTGCTGCTGCATCACCTCTGAAACCTCATACCATTAATAAGCAAAGGGTAGAACTGTTTTCTTGAGTTTTCCGTTATGTGCAGTGTAACAAGTGGGACATTTAGTGTGCCTCTTTGGCTGTGAACCCCTTTAGGGAGAGATTTGGTTGTTCCTGGGTGAAGACAGTTTGGGGAAGCCTCCTGCCAGAAGGAAGGAGATGTTCTAGCACCTGTGAGGTTGGTCCTGCTCAGAAGCAGCTCAGAGATTCCAGAAGAACACACTGAGGAGACTATCGTAAGTGTTGGAATAAGCCTATCTGGTTTCATCCTTTTCAGTAATACTTCATGAATATATAGGAAAATTGGAGGGTGCAAAAAGTATTTTGTAATTTAAGGAAAAGATGAAAATGTTGAAGAAATCAAGGTGGCTCGAGCATACTCAAAGACTTGGGTGTGGAATAGGCAATTGATGGAAGAAATGAGGATGTTCTGAGCATCCCTCTTCTTGGAAAGAGGGCATACACTGCTGCTGCTCACCTGTTTAAATCTGGGGAAAACTTCAGTTAAGTCAAAGATAGCACAGTATCCAAGTATGTGAAAACTCACAATAAATTTCAGCAGCATCCCAAGCCAGGTTAAACTAAATAAACTATGGGGAGAAAAGCATGTCAGAGAGGTAAACAGAGGATAAAAAACAGCCTTTTTATTTTCAAACAAATATTCTAAAGTAGCTGTCACTTATGATATAGAAATCTTCCTAATAGACATATTCCTTTTCTTTATGATCACTGAATTGCTTTGTCTCAGGCACCAACTTAGCTCCCCAGCCAAAATTTTCACACGCAATCATCTAATTATAGAATACCAAATTCTATACTTAGGTCTCTAAATAAAAGTGACCTGAATTTGAGAACTAGCTTCAACTGAAGTTTCTGTACCTCTACAAAAAAGTCAATGCGTACCACCATTGAAAATTACTGAAAATTAGGCCACCTACCAAGACACAAGTCATTTGTCTTGTGAGTAGAATACCTTGTTTGAGTGGAACAGGAGGAGAGGAGGAGAACAGCAAAAAATAATTGGTATGGTTTTTTGTCCTTCTTCCTCTAACCTCTAAGCTACTGTCTCAAATGGCACCAGGCTGTTGTTTACTTCAAAAAGCAGCACTTGTGGTCATATAGCTTTCCTCCTTGATAAGCACAGTCATATCTGTATACCTATACATTGTGTTGTCTTAACTGTGGGAGCACATGCATTTTAGCATGGCACAGTTCAGACTTTTTTTGAGACACAAAATTGATCAATAGCTATGCAAATCATCCTAAAGAATGTGATGCTCATGATCAAACCATATGTTTGTAGATTGTTTGTGCACATATACATTGGGTTATGGTTCGTGTAATCTTTGACAAAGTACAGAACTGAACACAGCATATTCTTGGATAATACTGTTCCTGGTGCTATTCTGCAAGGATTTTGTGAAATTATTACTTTCTTACCTGTATGTGCTTGCCTCATTAGTAATGTTCAGCCAATTTCATCTTTTTTCTATAACTGCTAGGTGATGTGTAGGCATTAGAAGGCTATATAGTGCTTGAGGGTATTTTTTTTAGCTACGCAGGACCTATTTTTAAGAAGTGGTGGTGAGGGAATGATATCAGCCCTGAGCCCAGGAGTTTCCAACAAGTTCTCTTAGGAGTGTGCAGAACCATGATTAGGAAAACAGAAAGGGAAGTGGAATAAGGTCACTCAGCTCTCTCTACCCTCACTGTTTTCTTTCAGTATTGGTTAGATGTGGCAATGTCCTTTTCTCTTACAAGGACTCAGATTCAGGGGTGAGAAAAAGCTTGAAAATGACAGGAATACATTTTTCAGCAACTTGCTGCATACAATCAGATTTTTTTTTTACTAATTTCTAGTTGGTTTTTGCTTCATTCATCTTAAGTTGTGTATTCCCTCTGATCAAATAATCTTCTTTTTAATTTTCCAATGTAGATCAAAGGAAACTAATACCTTTCCCTTCTTCCTGCCCCCCTTCCCATTACTCAGTGTGTCGAAAAGTAGCAGAAGTAGCAAAAGAAGGTACCTACAGGATTCAGGAGAATGGTGAGGAAAAGTTCACCTCCTCGGATACTTTTGTCCAGCTCCTGAGGACCCCCAGGGTATTCCTTGTAAAAAATAGTATGAGTGAAAAGGCCACAGGTCTGTCGAGGGAGCACCTGAGAACAAAATGACAGCACCATTGTAATATTAACATTTCTGCAAATTTACTCTAACATATTCACTGTAATACTTCCAGCAGCTTGAACAAAGCTGCAGTCCTTTCCTACTCTGTAATCCAGTGTGTTTACAGACTCTCGTGTACCTTCTGCGCTCTCACTGTAAGCAAATTCCTGCAGATATGCTTTCCAGATGCAAAGCTGCATCACACATGCAGACTGCTTTAGCCAGCTTATCCAGTAATAATTAAGGGCTTGTTTCCTGGTGTTTGAAAGAGAAAGAAAACAAACAGCTAAATATTTCTTCCTTTGGCAAGGTTAGTTTATTACAGGATAAATAATGCTTCCTGGCCATCTTCAATATTGCAGGTAATTAACGTTACTGGGACACTGAAATGAGTTGTTATTCAAGGCTGTAGATCTCAAATGAGTTTCACATTTTCCTCAGTTTAACGTACTGTGTATTACATAGTGTCCAAAAATCACAGTGAAACCCTTCTCCTCTCTGTCAAACCTTTCCAGGATTGGTGGAGCATGCACATGACAGTGATCGGAAGTCAGGCCTCCATCCCATCATTAATCAGGAGGCTGCATGTCAGAAACTTGCAAGCTAGCAGATGTGGGAAGTAAACTGATATTGGAAAATTAGATGTTTTAGTTACATTGCTAAGTAGTTAAAATCAAAGGGCTCTGGTGCACCAATTAAAGACAACAAATGTCAGAGTTTATAGATACTGCCTAACATATGCAGAGACACGATTCACCTGGGAAAGGCCTTTAGTTTCCCTGCAGTCAGTGCTTTCATTTTTCTACTCAGTTAAAAGACAAACCTTAAGATCAGTGAAGCATTTTAATGTGTAAATGCGTTGCTGCATTCAAGTCTATGCCAATCACAATTGGACTTCGTGCAGTGACTTGTTGGTTTTGACTGAGACATATTGAAGGAATAGCATCAAATTGTGCCGGGGAGTTTCAGGTTGGATGTTAGGAAAAACTACTCCATAAAGGTGGTTAGGAACGGGCTGCATAGGAAAGCAGTGGAGTCACCATCCCTGAAGGTGGAGAAATGGTATTTAAGGACATGGTTTAGTGGGTGGTATTGGTGGTAGGTGGACAGTTGGGCTGGATAATCTTAGAGGTCTTTTCCAACCTTAATGATTCTATGATTCTATGTTTCTTTTGTCAGAATGTTGATCCACTAAGTGAGATTTTACATGTGCAGGCAATATTTGCATCTGTTAGGACTTTTCTATGGTTAAGGACCTAGCTTTGAAAAATATATTTCTAACTTAGGTTATACAGATATAAGTTTTGCAGTTGCCTGTTTCAGTCTCACAGTCTTGTCCATTCAAACTTTTTTCCTTCAAGCTGCTGGCTGGGAGGATGGGTCAACTAATTTTACACAATTCCCTGCTTTTCAAACAGGTGAAATATGCATGTGAAGAGCCCTCTCCCTTCTAACCCAAATGTGGGGTGTAGAAGATTGTGTCCAATCTAGGAGATTCAGGAGCACAGCTCAGAAGGAAACCTTGGCCTTAGAGAAGTGCCAGAGAAGATTACTTCTACCTGTTCATTTTCTTTAGTGTTGAGTTTCTAATCCTTTCATACACAAAGATGAACCAGACCTTGAAACATAGGTCTTAAGTAGTTTAATGAATTTCAAAATATGCATTTATATTTTGATTGATGGTTGGTAATAGATTGGGTTACAAATACACTCAGTTTCTGAAGATTACATTAACAGTTGCCTGAGTTTGTGTGACTTTTTAAAATTGCATAACAAATGCACTCTTTTGGCATCTTTACAAATCCTTGATCACAGAGAATTTTAATGATTGCTGTAAAACTTGAAACATTTGGTAAAAATAGCAGACTTTTGAATCACTTAAAGTAATATTGCTATGAAGCATGGAAATGCAGTGTACCATGATGCCATTGTGGATGAAGCCCCGTCTGTACCGTGCAGGCTTCAGGTGTGGGTATTCTTCTGTGCTGGTCACTCGGATATGCCAGACCTTCTTCCAGGCCTCGTACAGCTGGATGTGGACTGGGTAGACTCCAGAGTGGTGTGGAGCCACTGCGTATCCCATGTCAGTTGGTATGCCATGCTCCTGCGACACAGCAGAGAGAAGGATATATTTAGGAGCAGAAAAAGAACACGTAATTCTTCAAAGATTTTCTTCTGCGGATAACAGCTTTGGAGAAGCTGTTGTCCTTGGACAGCCTTGTATCTATTTATTTGTATGTAGCACATGCTAAAAACAGGGGAGAGGTGGAGGGAGCTTGAATTAGTTTGATGTCTGTAGAGTGATAAATAATCCTCTTGGATTACACTGTGTTACTGTTGTTGTAGAGAACAGGTTTATCTGCCTGTTCATTAGATGTTGCATGCTTTATAATACGTGTTCTGTTTGGTTCTGTTTAAAGAATCTTGTAAATTATCAAATAGCATTAGAGCAGTAAGCAGAAAAACTTGTTGCTCTGACATTTGTGGCTTGTTCTTTCCTATTACTTGAATAATAGCAAGATGTCTTGCTGATACAAAACAAACAAAAAAATGGGCATATGTCCCCCACAGCTTCTGAATATGCTTATGTTTCCCAAAGTATTAGGGTAGTAGCAAAAAATCTGGACTGAAAGACATATTTTCTGTTTCATAAATATTTATTCAGTTCCTCTAAGGAATTATGTGCATTTTCATGAATATAATCTGTAGGCTATATTGAAAGTATCTCCTGATGGAACAATGAGGTGTTTATATGCAGGTAGACGGAATTAAGGAGCTAGAGTGTAAGTGTACTAATGTGCTGAGCATGTTCCTTTACTCCTGAAGATCTCTTGCCTTTGTTCTGCTACTAATAGCATCTATGACCTCGTGTGGTCTATCCAAAAAACTTATCTGATGGGTCCCCTTAACCTTTTTTGTAGACTAGGTATTTTTAAGAATGCATGTGATTTGATTGAGTGATTAGCTTTGTTGGGTTGAGTGATGTACAGAAATGTACCTGGCATTTTGTCACCAACTACTGCCAGGAAGAAAGGTTATGTTCTGCCTCTTCTTCCTTAACCTCACACTCATTTTCAACCCCTTCGATTTCTAAGTCCTTTTCAACTCCCATGGGAGATCTCCAGGGGATCTTTTTCTATGCTCTGAGTGTTTACTGCATCTCTTTTGCTCCCAGTGACATGTTATGTGGGACAGTGCCCATGGCCCCAGTTCCTCACCTTCTCTCCTCTTCTGCCCTCGGTGTCAATAAAAGCACTCCCTTCTGCTGAGAGAGCTGCCACATCAGCTATTTTTCTGTTCATATATAATTGATACACATGAAAAAGGTTAAAATCTGAGCTGGTGTGCTTGTCCTTCATCTTGCCCATATTATCTGTTGATAACATTAACTGTTGATTACTTCTGGGAGTGGCAGATTCTGTAGGGCATCTTTAAGTACTTTGCAACGAAAGGCTTTTGGTTCAATGAAAAAATTAAATTAAACCAATGGGGAACACTTGAGAAACACCATTTAATGCATCCTCTTAAAATTCTCTGTTTCTTACTAGCAAATATCTTAGGTTACCTGCTGATCTTGGGGAGGGTGGGGAGAATGTATAAAAAGAACACCAAACACACTCTTTTGCAATTTACTGACAGAAAAGTGTGACTTTCAGTTATTAATGTTACATACCTGAAAGGCATGAGTCAGTTTAAGGTGAAATGATGAATAGAAGTATAGTTAGAAGTGTCACTCTTTTCTCTTTTCTTTGAACATGAATAAAGGAATAGGTTATGTCTAAGGGTTTTTGAAAAATCTCACTATTTATTAACAGAATGTCTGAACAGTCTATGATGCTCACAGTCAGATGTACTGAATTACAATGTGCAATAACAAAACTTCACCAAAACCTGTTAGGGAGTTCATAGACACAAATGTAAAGCGAAAGTGTCTCAATCTAGCTAATGACTGCTACTCTGAGTATGTCTGAAAGGAGGTATCTGGATGAATACATGCAAAACCCTGTTTATCTGCTTACTATTTGCAGCTGATATTGCTATAGTAACAGAACCTCAAAACGGTAATCTACCATTCACAAATAAAATAAGGCACCACTTTGCAAATTCTAAATATAAAAAGATAATTAACCTCTGAATAAATTTGTACACCATGCAGTTCATCATTTAAGTACATGTCACTCAGACACCCAATATGATTTTAAAAAGATATAAGCAAGATGTAATCAGATGTGACCAGTTCCATGTTGAGTTTACTTGGGTAAATTAAACATCAGATGTCCTATTTTAGTGATTTCTTTTATTTTGTTTTTTATTTTTCTTTTTCATATTTTTGTTATTAAATTTAGTTTGGTGTTGAGAATTAATGTGCTAAAGGAGAAGCAAATATGTGAATCCAAGAAGGACTTGCTCCAAGCTGTCAGGCAAAATGAGAGGTGCCATTAGTGAATACACTCTTTGCTCTAAGGAACTATTTCCTACTAGATTTCATAAGGTTATTTCTACATTCAAGACTTTGTACATGTGCTTGCGTAGTTTGGAAAATTTCTTGACCTTTTAGGCACTATGAAGAACAGTATTACATTCTTGAGCATGCTTGAGCTGGTACATGAATCCAAAATAGCAACAGGAAATGCTCAGTCCTACCAGTGCAGCCTGGCTCATCTGCACAGCCTTCAGAGCTACCTTAGGAGAGCCATGTGCAGGACGGGTGCTTCTATGAGTGGTTTGAAAAGCTGAAGTAATCTGCTACGGCTCCTTTCATAATTATCAGCTTCTTTCAAGCAAGTGAAGACTTCTGACCTTGCTTTTTGTACAGAAATGAGCTGTATTCATCATGTCAGCATGTACTATGTATATTCATTCTATGTTTGCTAAAGAAAAGACAGGTAATGGAGACTTAGCGCTGCTTTCCAAGGGTAGGTGTATCTCAAAACATAAGTTCGTGTTCTGTTTTCTTCTGTGAGCAGATGCTAGAGATTTTAGTTTAAAAACAAAACAACAACAACAACAACAAAACAAACAGTGACAGGAAAATTGGCTACTTATATTAGCAGGATGTTGTTTGAGAGAGACTCCGTTCCCAATTGCAACAAATACTACATTTACTGTTAAAGCACAATAAGGACTAAAATTATGCTATATGACAAAAGTAAATCTGGTTATTAAAAATGACTATTGATTTATTTTACATAAATATATAGTACTAGCCATTACTGGGGAGAGAATAAGAAAACCCAGATCTTTAATTCAACAAATCTTATGTCTACTGTGGATTTCTTCATACAATCAATTGAATTGCAAGAGTACCTTTATATAACTAATTCTTAGATGAAGAAGTTAATATAACCTCAGGCAAGTTTTCAAAAATGTTTTGACTTTGTCCAACAGTAGGTGATAGGGAAAATATGGTTCTTTATGAGATGTTACCTTCCAAAATTGAGATTTACATAAGCTTTACATACTTTTAGTACTGGGATATATTTTTAATATTGTTGCAGGTGGATGAGATTTCCTATGAGATTATATGTTACTTTGCAAGTTTAAAATACTTTAGTAAAGTTTTTTTGTGTTTTTTTTTTTTAATTTTATTTTAATTTGATAAATGAATTCGCCACTTATTTGTCAGCATAAATATGTCATAAAAATATGTGGTATTCTAGCCTTCCTGGACACAAAATTTTGTTGATATTTCTGGATAGTTTTACTGAATATATATTTTATCCTTTTAGTTCAATTCTAAACTTTTAAAATCATGTTTAAAAATTCTCTAGCTAGACAAAATGATTCAGCAAATAAGAAATTATTGTTAAGAGACAGGAGAAGTGCTAATGTGAATCTAGTTTATAATCAGGAAATTGAAATTGAATCCAAGGAGCAATACAAGAGAAGATCTGAATTGATTTGTTTTGTAAAGGTACATCTCACTTCCTATCAGATCATAGTGATGTTTTTACAGTCCATGATAATTTTTGCCCTCTTTCTACCATACTTTTGGTGTATGTGTTCACATGTGAGAGCAGAAAATAATTAGAGAGCAAATAAATCAAGGGACAAAACAAAGAGCTACAGGCTTTGGATTAAATATATCCTAGTTTTTATAAGATAAGGATATACAAGAGGGTGAGGAAGAATATTTTATGATTAAAGGTTGGCAGTAAAAATCAGCAGAACTTGGTTTGTTTTATTTTTGGAATATGGGCTAGCAGAGACATCTGCTTACATGATTTGTTTACCTCTGTATCAGTTGTCTGGCCTATAAATACATTAGAATAATAATATCTGAGATATTATCGGTTTGCAAAGCTTAATCCATTAATGTCTGTAAAGGATTTGGGGATCCTCTGGTAGAAGAAGAAAATAACCCACAAAATATGATTGACAAAACAAATTAATAATCAAAATAAATATCATTTTCCTTTAGCTGAGCTTTGAAATATGCTATACATATATACATAAATAACGAGATGTTAGAATAGCAGAGTTATGGTTAGTCTGCAACCTGCTGCATTGAAATTAAAATCACTTGTTCTGGTGTTTACTTGTTTAAGCTTTCTGGTATAAAACTACCCCGAAGGGTAACAAACGGAGATAAAGACCAAAATCTAAAGAAAGGGACTTCGCTCTTTGTCTATGAAAAGTGAGGGAAGAATGAAATGTGAACGTACTGGGTGCATCAACAGTGGGAGTGTGCAGTGCTTGGGATTGCTCTCCTTCCCATGCAAGGGAAATGTTCTCTGAAGCAGCAGAAACCTAGGAGGCTGCATGGAATCCTACCAAGCGTTCGTTTCCTATAGCTGTTATGCCCTGCTCTTAGAGTGTGAGGCTGAGGATGCCGCGAGTGCTTGGGAAGAGGTGTGGCAGTGATGGGAGCAATGGACACTGGCAGCTGTGGGGCTGTTGCTCATGCATGTGTGGGCAGGGATTTTGTTAAGCAGAACTTCCTTCACTTCATGATAGATCCAGGGCAGTGGGGCAACAGCGTGTATGAAGGATGTCAGAAAACAACTTCCTCTCACCGTCTAGATATGGAACTAGAGAAATGGGGAATGATGTGCTCATATTAAAAGTAGTCTCCTTTAATTCATAAGCAGTTTACAGGCAAAGGAAATTCTTAAAGACTGTTGATTTTATAAAGCCCCAGAGTTTACTTATTCCCAGAGGTTTACTTATCTACACTGAAATCAAGGTAATTGCGCACCTAATTAGCAATTAGTTGTATTTATACAAATTTGTTTAGCTACCTGATTTCTATGAGTATTTTTTGATGTACCTGTTTGAAGCAGGCTGCAATTGTAACCTCTCTATTTATAGAGCCTCACTCTGAGGTGCAGACATACCAGTGTAGAACAGAACAAGGTGTTTTATCCAGCTGCCGCTGTAACACCTGCATTTCTTGCATGTATCCATCAGACTGTATTTATTCTCAAGCTTCTGCAAACCAAAGATTATACATTGTGTAAATGCAAGAGCCAATAAAAATGGTGCTTGTGTACATTTATAGCTCCATGTGATAATGTCCATGAAATACTGTGTTTCAGATAAACTGGCTTATGTTTGTTAAGCTTGACTTTAATCCACAGCACTCAGAGAAGAACATTCCTTTTATGAAATGTTTTCTCCCAGTGAATATCACCACTCCTGAGCCTCATGCTCTCTTGCACGAAGGAACTGCTGACTGTGAAGGGATTTAGATCTAGCCTTTAAGGTCCAGGTTCCTAGTCAGTGTGATGTTTCTTCCAAAATGAAAATGCCCTGAGGAACTGACAGGTCTTAATGAAGAGATTTTTTTTTGTTGTTGTGGAGGTGGTTTTTGGGATGTTAAAGCAGCCTTGATTGCTTTTTTTCTTATATAATTATTTGCTCTCTCATCTTGAAGAATTCATTGCCTTCTCACCGTGTTTAAAAAATGAACAAAGAAACACATCAGGTGAAGAATGAATGCGATCATACTTCTGAATAATTACTGCAACTTCCCTTGCACAAACTGGCAAAGTGTTTTCTCTACTTACAGTTAAAACAGGAGGTGGGCAGATACGGTCAATAAATAGGAAATGTGTGAGAAAATGGCATAAACGTCAAGCTGTATTCCCCTGAGTATGGTGCTAAATAAAGATAATAGAGCACAAATAAGATTTATAGCACTAAGCAGACTTACTGTTTACTGTTCTGGACCTATAATATAAATTTGGAAACATTCTGTGAAGTAAAAGAATAATAAAAAGGACTCGCTTTCATTTTGGAAGACTTAAAGAAGTGCAGTTGTAGAAAAGGGAGTTCCTTTCCCGAAGAAGACATGAAGCTGAGAATGAGAAAGAAGAGCACAAGGCTACTCTGTGTCATAGCTGGAAGCTCTGTTAGATATCAGGAAAGCTGTCATATCAGGAAGACAAATTTCTACCCCAGAGTGGACTTCAAAGGAAGCCTTTTGAAAAGAAATGTTCTCATAAGTAAATTGCAGAGCTTGTATCGATTCAAGGTTGAGAGGTTGGTACAACCCCTGTCCAAATGCTAGCAGGAAATAAAGCTGTAATAACTGCAGCCTTTCCCTGACATCAGGCTCTTATTTATAGGCACCCAAAGGAGTCTCTACCCTTCAATGATGATAGGAAGATGGGCTTTATCTTTCTGTAGCTGAAGTTGCAAACATTCTATTACAAGCTCTGTTTTCAAGCTGCATTATAGATTTTATTTCTGAAGGTGATTTGATCTAAAAGACATCATGTTACCTGAAAATACTAGGAAAATTTTCCTGCAGGTTTTGAAGATGAATGTGGACTTGAGATAGGAATTACTTAAATTGGTCTTGCATTTAAAATCTCAACTATATATAGATTCCTTAGGCCTCTGCAGCAGTTAGGCCAGGTCAAACAAAAGACATGAACAGGCTATGCTGGGAGTGATGCTGTAACACTGTGTTGTAGAAGAGAAAAGTGATCCCAAATGCCTCTGCACTGATTTCCTACAAAGAAGCAGATGAGGGAGGTTATCTAGAGAGAAGGGTAAGCGGTTAAGCCATTTTTAATGAATTTGCTTTAAAGGTTGTTAGGAAAATATTTTCATAAACAAGGGAATAAATTGCTTCCAACTGCTTGTTAAGACATCTGCCTTGGCTTGGCTTCCTGATGCCTCTTGGCTCATGTGAGGGATGGGGAGCAGGGTCTGCTGCTGGCTGCCCTTTCTGAGCTGTGAGGGGCTGAACTTTGTGCTCCCTAAGCAGCAGAGAAAGCTTCACTGCGCTACTCTGCTCTTTTGAGTGGCACAGGTTACTTGGCATTTCTGTGCCTTGTCAAAGTCCACACAAGTGTCTTTTCTAAAGAGAGCATTTGCAGACTTCAGCTTTTTTTTGTGATGCTTAGTAGAATTACCCTGAATGGACTCTAAGTGGTTTCCACGTGACCTCTGAGTGTAAGTGCTCTGAGCTCTGGGCAGTGCTAGGAGGATGGCTCTTGTAAGTTAACAACAGAAAAAAGCAAAAAGGAAATGTTATCTATAAGCACTACTAACAGCTTAGCTATGTGAAAAAGCATATTTTCAGGTCATCTAAAAAAGCACTCTGAAGTCCCACAGCTTCACTTATTTACCTCATTAGCTTCAAGATTTCTCACAAACCATGCACAACATTTCACAAAGTTGATTGAAGCTTTCACCCTCACTTCTGAAGCTGTTTGCACCAGACGTCAAGGAGCTGATAACCTGTATATTATTCCCTTCCTAAAGCTCAAAAGGCCAAATGACATCTGCCAAGAATTCCCTGCTTCTGATCCCTGTGGTCTTGCAAGACAAGGTCAATGGGCTGCTTCCTATCCAGTAAGCCTGTGCTGGAGAAAAAGGCAAAATTCAGCCCAAGTTTGAGTCAGAGTGTTTTTTTTTAGGGCTGATTTACCAATCTTGCAACCTTATTTTTATACCTATTTAAACATATGTATAATACAACTAATACAGCCACGCTTTCCTTGCTGTGTTTATATGCAAGGGTGATCCATCTAGTAACTCTTACTTACTAGTGCAAATTCTTTGTTGAGGATCATCTGCTCCACCAGTGATGACTCATTGTGGAAGAGATGAGGCTGCATGTGACTCCACATATGGGGAAACCACCAAAACTCATCCACAGATCTCAATAGCAGGTCATCACCTTCATCTTCCTCTTCAGTGCCTGCAAAAGATAGAAGAAGAAAAAAAAAAAAAAAAAAAGGAATAGAAAAGTAAAGCAGAAAATGTCCATAATTACTTTGGTGGGGGTTTTCTTGTTTGTTTTCAAGATAGAGGCTGCTATAAAACCTGGTGTCTGGCTCTGATTTCTCACTGTGCTATGGACAGTCTCTAAAATATCACAGAAGGAATCAGGTGAGATACTGTGGGTGATAGCTCTCTCTTTCTATTCCTGACACCATGTTAATTTACTGTAGTTCTAACACAGTGTAAGTTTTAAGAGTGAATTGCTGTTCTATGTAATACAATAGAAGTTTTCAGAAGTTCAGGCTCCCTGTGAAGATGAAGGCTGGATGGACTGCCCATTGAGGTGGTTGACTCACTATTCCTCAAAGTGTTCAAGAAATGTGGAGATGTGGTACTAAGAAACCTGAGGAACATAGTTTAATGGGTAATATTGATGGTAGGTGGACAGTTGGAATGGATCGTCACAGAGGTCTTTTCCAACCTTAATGACTTTATGACTTGTATCCACCTGCTTTGGTCCTGGCTGACACTGCACAGCTGAGGCTGGCTTAGTGGCCCTGCAGAGTGCTGTGTACCAGTGTCTTGCTAAAACTTACTCTTTACAGCTACCTCATTAACCTCAGCAAAGTGAAATCTGATACTTTCTGGTAAAAAATGCAAAAAAGTTTCAAAAATATGATAAACGCAGAACTAATGGCAAGAGTTCTACATGTTGTTTCCTATGGTTCAATATTATATTCTTGCCATGTTCAATCTCTAAGTAAAAAGAATAAAAATTCCTACGTTAGTGAAGAATATCTGTGTCAGGCAGAAGCAAATATGCTTATAACAAATCAACCCCCCTATCTAAGAAATGATACAGTGCTACTTCCACGGTATGCAGACATATGTCTCCAGTGCTTTTTTAATCTAGGAAGGAAAAGTTATGTTTCCACTAGCTTTACCCTCAAATTACTGAACAACATTCAGTTTATTGCACTTTCCTGTCTTGCTCCTTTATCATCTTAATTTAAATGCCTTTATTTAGCTTTGGTCAAAGAAATAATTATCTAAATCAGCCTACTCATGCAAACATAGATTGCTTTCTCTCTCTGGGCCTTACAGTTTTTGCAAAAATCACTGAAAGAAAATACTCCATGCATGTCTCTGTTTACCTTTGGGTATGAAGCAGGGACACACAAAGATAGCTGCTCAGTGCATGCACTTCAGCTCTTTATTTTTACAGGTCTGTTTTGAAGAACGCTAGTACACAAAGGGAGCATTTATTTGAAACTTTTGCCTAGCATCACCGAATCAATTTATTCTTCTTTGTAGCACTCTGCAAGTTCAAAGAAAGCATAAAGTTGCTCCTGCTGATGGGAGCACTTCTGGAAAAGAGGAAAACAACCTTGTTTTTAGGTAACTTCTTCCTCAGACAAAGGGACCTATGGCTGCCCTGTCTGCTCCATTATCCAAAATTTCTGGATGGTGCATTTTTTAATGACTACTCTCTTGTTTCTTGGAATATATTGTTCACTTGCACCCTCCCAGAGAAATGCAATCAGAAGGGAGATAATTAACATAGACATTCCTGTTTCAAAGCAGGAAGAAGAGAAAAGGGTAAATATAATAAAGAACTGTGATTATTTGATGTACGATTTAGTCCAAATCATAGTTTATTGCCTTATTAAAGTATGGTCGTTTAGATAGATTATTTTATATCACATGTTATAGTGATTTGTTCATAAATTTAGATACAATTCATCAAAATTTGCACATATATATTTTACCATAGCGAAGATCAAACAAGATAAAGCATGATACTTCCCAGCTTATATAAACAAAGTGTCAAAGTTGGAACAGAAAGGCTTGAAGTTTAACACTTGGTGAAGTTTTCACTTTTCAGAGGACTATTTTCTTTATAGGCTACAATAAGAATGTTTGATTTTTATGAAATATCAAATAGAGGTATTTTTAAAAAGTCAAAAGTTTAATGCAATATTTGCGAAATGCTTATATATTTTGAATATTTTTTGCCCAACATCTTGTTTAAAGTATTGAAAGCAAAACAATGAATTGGGAAGTTTTCAATTCTTGTGTAATCAGTATTTTCTGTATGACTTTCTATCTTCATTTTAGTCTGAAATCTGAAAACTGCAGTAGGCCTACAATCGAGAAGATGAACATATATCTACTTTGAAAGACACTATGCACTTTGCACAGGTGGATAATAATTTGGTGTTTGATTGCATCTAATAAATAAACCTTCATTTTAAATCTACAGCAACTTGGAGGTCTCGAGCTCAAAATTGAAACAATGTTTGAAGTTGCCATCAATAATCTTAGAAATTTCAAATTCAAATTCTGAGAATATTTTCAATTCTGTTGCCATAGTGTAAGCAAGCAGAAGATATTCGCTAAAACTGCATAACCAGTAGTCTTTACTCTTTTTTTTTTTTTTTCCCCTATCAGTTTCACATCTACAGTGCAGAGTATACCCATGCTACAGGAGGGAATAATGATGGTGTCAGTTATTGTACTGGTATGCAGGCAAGCCAAATAAGATCGGTATTTGTCATATAGAAGTCAGCAGCATCTTTCAATGAAAATGCTTAACAGTTTAATATGCCAACACATTCCCAAGATCATCTCTCTCTTTAAACTGATCCTAGTTCTGGAAAGGCAAGCAAAATCACAAATTAAAGAAGTCAATAAGGCACAACAATCTCGGTGCACTAATAAAACATGGTGAATATCTGATACTAAAAGCCCCTGGGGGTAAACGAGCCACATTTACAGTAATTAAACAATACTTTTCCATGTTTTATTTATTATGAATCAATAAAGTGTATATTGCACAGAGAATACGTTAGAATCTTTCCACTAAACTGATACGACAAATGCCACCACTGACCTGTAAATGAAGTGCTCACTTAAAAACTTGAATACTTCACTGAGTACAAATAGCAGCATGTCCCTTAATGGAGGCAGTGGTATGCTTCAGCTCATTAAGTAGTTTTGTGCTATTTTGGTATGCCTTGGGATCCCTAGGAGGACAGGCAAATATGCACATTCTCCTATATTCTCTCGCTGTGGCAGCAGTAGTGAATCAGAAATTCGTCTGTGTTATACCAGCTGGGCAATGAAACCTGTCGGTTAGTAGGAACTGGCTTCACTAAGAAATAGTAACAGCATATGGAGACAATTGGGATTGTCAGAAAAAGTGCTTTGGCAGGTTAAGTGTGATTTTGTAGGAAAGCTTCATGTTTTCTGCCAGTCACTGCCTTCATCTTATAATATTTGTAATAAGTTATCTTCTTTTCCACCTCTTCTCCTCCTTGAATTGTCTTTCTGTGTGGTGGATACCGAAATGTCTGATACCAGTTTCACTGTAATGGAGCAGCATCCTGCTTTAGAGCTGTTCAGAGCCTTGGGCTATTTTGTTTATTTTGTTTATTTTGCTGTATTAAGTGTATGTCCAATTAATCTCCAGAAGAACTAACTATACAGGCAGGTCAAGCTGAAGTGAGCAGAATACTGAAGGTTTGTCTCCAAAGTTCTTCCCTAATCACAGATCTGCCAGTGGCTTGTTATATGACTCCAGGCAAGTAATTCCATCTCTCTCTACATCTCATTTTTCTCAGACTCTGCTGCTTATTTCTTTAGCCTGTGAGGTTTCCTGGGCAGCAGTTGCCTAGCATTATGTGTCTGCACAAGGGGAAAACAGGCTGGACTTTCAGTGGTGTCTGAGAACAATGGTAACACAAATAATTTTGGTTTCCTTCTCACTACTTATCTTTCAAATGATTTCTCATCCCCTTATCTTCCAGGGTCCTTTTTTACTCTTCTAATTGATGATGAAATAGAGACATAAGCGGTAGATGAGCTTGCTATCATCATGTTCACATGCTGGCAACGAAAGGGAGAGTACTGCTGCACTTACACTGTGACAGGGAATCTTCATCTTCCTGCTGTAGTACGCAGCTATCTTGTGACCTGTTACAGCTAGGACTGTCTCATTCCTTGCTTCTAAAGTTCTCTCATCATTTTGCTGCTGCAATGCCTTCACATCTCCTCTAAATGATTCCCAGCCTACATAATGCCACTCAGGCAAGAAGAGTTAGATGTGGCTGAACGTATTGGCAGCTGAGGATTCTAGAGTCTTGAAAGATGAGAAAGGTGCAGTACAAGAAGGACAGTATGTGTCTTTGTTGCAGTGAGTCTCTAAATATGTCTTTTTACGTTAGGGAGAAGAAGATGAAGGGGAAGGGAGGGAGAAAAAGGCGGGAAGAGGACATTGTACAGCAGAGAAGTGGACCAAAAGAAAGAGAGGAGTCATAAAAAGAAGGAAATGTAAAAGCACCTAATCTTTCATGGAAGCATAGTGTGGGTATACAGCTTGTTCCTGCATGCAGCACAGAGGTAACAGGGTTTCAATTAAATTTATTTTCATCTTGTTTTCTCTTTTCTTGGAAAAAGAATGTACTTCTGAACTGTATGATTCTACCTTCATCATCCCTCCCAGTTTTCAGACTGTTAAAATAAATAACTTCCAGTCATAACAAAATCTTATGTATCCCATTTAAGTAAATCTGCCTCTTTAGAGGTTATGAGACATGTTTTCTTTCTTTTTTTTTTTTTTTTTTTTTGTTGTCTTATATATTTCTTCATATCTGTCATACTGGTAAATCTTTAGTATGTCTTCTCTTTTCTCTTGCATTCTGCAGAATTACAGAGATCTTGGCAGCTCCTTTTCTCCTTTTATGACATGAAGGTTTACTATCATACATCTTTCAGAAAAGTACCAATGACATCTACGTGTTCCTAATAAATTTATCCATAGGCTATTCTTGCCCCAGTGGACAGCGAATGAGACCCTGGATCTAAAATGGTGGAGCATATATTTCCCACTCCTCTACTTAGTGCTTTAATTTAAAAAAAAGCATGTCTAAAGCTGGGCTTAAAATCCTGTCACCTATTTATCTGTAGCTACCTGAGAACATGAAGTTCCTTCTTACCTGTATGGTAAAATTTTCCTGAAAATCCAAGGTTGAAGGTAAAATTTGCAACCTGAGTGCGCAGTAAATTCTGAGTCTCTAGTAAAGCCTGAAATAAATAAGAAATTAACATGCATTTAGAAAAGTGAGTATTAATTTTTGAATGCCTCATTTAAAAAAATTGTGTCCAGCTTAGGAGATATAACAAAAAAAGATCCTGTTAAATTTATTTCACATTTTATTTTGAGGTTATTCTTTTTTTTTTTTTTTTTTTCTTTCTTTCCTTTTTAAAACTATTACAGTTAGCTTAATGTGCTCCATCAGTTTGATGATCTAGCAATGCTAGTAGTAGTTTCTAAGTGCTGAAGTACATGACAGACCAAAATACTATATATTATTTGCAATGATCTATGGCAGGACTTGAATCCAGTCACTGAGTCAGTGTACACTAAATCACTAAGCAACCCACATTTGGAGTTATTAATGAGGCTTGATAAAATGTGCTTAAACTCCAAAGTTAGAAATACTGCTTACCATCCAGATGTGGAGGCATTAGGGTTTACTTACCTGCAGAAACATATTTGATTGTGTTTAATTACCTAATTCAGGGTTATTTGTGAAAGTCAAATTTTGATCTATGGTGGAAGTAACATCCATTTTTCTCATGACCAAAATTAAATTCATTTTTATTTTATCTCTCCTCCATGAAAAGGATAAGACCAATCTAAATGAAAGAGAGGACAAGTATATTGCTTACAGAATAAGGGTAGTCCTGGTTATCTATCTAATGTGCATTTTTTCATGTGCATGTTCCCAACAAACACAGAAAAAGATAATGGTTCTGTCTGTACAAGCTGTCTACCTCTATTGTTAGGTCAACTCGGTGCTGCTTCTAAAGATAGTCCTTGCTGCGCAGATTTCTGCTTTGAATCAGCAGCTCACATAATCTGGATATGCTACGTATGTGAGATGAATAGTGCATTTATCTCCATATTGGTCTTGCCATTGTTGAATGGGTTATAAACTCTATTTTCATCAATTTTCCACGTCTCCATTATGTGGCTCTCTAGAACTTTTCACATCATCTACTAATAACATTTCTATTGATCGAATGTTCATGTTCTAGTAAAGTTCAAAGACAAAGTGAACACTATGGTTTACACGCAGCCCAAAGTCCAGCTAATGTTTCCTTTAATTTCAAAAGATTACATTTCATATGTTCATTAGGAAGTTCACTTTACATTATAGGAAGACAGCATCACCGTTTTGTTCAACTCACTGGTATAAATTAGAAAAAAGGAAAGAACTATTTGTACCCAAAGAGTAATTAGTCCCTCATAAGTGGTGAATAATGGATTTAAGAAACTGAAATGCAGATTGGTGGCCTGTGCAATCCTAACCCAGATGGGAGCCAAGCAAAACAGATATCTCCTTTGCATTGCAGTGGATTAGGAGATGTCAACTGCTGTCAGATTTTTTGGTAGGACATTAACATTCTAAACGTATGGATCTCATGTTAACTACAATATATATTCAGAGGCTATGGACGTTGGAACTCTAGTCTTTTATAAAGCTTTATTTGCTAACAGTCACCGTCAGTAATGGCATTGTTTAGGTGCCAGGCCGCTTCGGAGTGTAATATAAAAGGTTGTCAAAAAATGCATCTTCATTTTACTTTTGTTCCAACAGAAACATTGATTGAATGTTAAAGAAGACTTGAAACAAACTGTGGTTATCAGCCATTGCAGTCACCTAGTGGATATGCTGCTAAAGGAAATAAGTATAGCGATCTTGTTGCAGTAAATCATGTGCTTGAGCATTGTGTATTGAGACACATGTAGGTTTCCAGTTGATACTGGCAGACATTTAATAAATTGATCATTTAACTTCTGTGACAATTTCACATGTTTTGGGGCTCTATCTACATACTATATAAATATTCACCAACATGTTTAACCTTATCTAATAATGGCATTAATCTCTAGAAAATTGAGGAATATCCCCAGTTGATAAAAAAGTCACTAAACTCACTCTGTTAAAGTCATAAGCAGAGAATCTGAGCTGTTATATATTAGAATATAACTTCCCAAGCTATGTAGAATATTTTATATATGTTGAGAAAGACTGATGGGCTGAGAAAAATCAATTCAATTTTCCTTTGAGGAAAGAGCACCTTGAGAAATTCTCTCTTAACATATAGTACAAGAAGGTATGCAAAAGAACTGTCATTGTATCACTTTATTTTTTTTTCTCTAATTTCTCTCACACTCACGTTTCAATAAGATCACAGAACTAGAAGATAGGCAGAAGCTTTACATCCCAGTAAGGTCTCATTAAAATTTCAGAATGAGGATTAAGATGTAAATCCTGTAACCTGCAGTGTGTCAAGCATTTTTGTCTGTCTAAAGGGCAAATCTGTCACTCAAACTAGATTTGTCTTGGTCCCAAATACTTGGTTTTATTGCCATTTCCATATATGCATATTAACTGAAATGATATGTGGCTAAATTTCATTTTCATTACCTCACTCCGTTTTAATACTAAGAGGATACTGTTAACCTAATGCATTTTGTCACTGCTTACTTTCTGTAGAGGATGGGAAACATCTGATTCCAAAACATCTCCCTGGGTGATTAGGGTCTACCTTCTGTACTTTCACAGAATATATATTTGAACAAAATTTCTAATGACCTACACTGCCCTCACCAGTAATTTTGCAGATTTAATAATAAGAACTTTATATCGTACAGGGTACAGACTGTAACAGCACACAGTACCATGACAAGAAAAGAGCTGATTACTTGCATGCTTGTGAGTGATTAAACTCCTGCTTTTAGTGCTGAAACAAGGAAGGCCGTTGTTCAAGCAGGGTTGCTGCCCACTGGCTCCTGGGTGTTGCAGCCTGGAGGAGTTCTGTGTCCCTGCCATCTGGTGCTAGAAGTTTCTCTGGGGCTCACAGCCTTCAAAAGAGATGGAAGGTATTTATTTTATTCTAATCACACTCATGGAAGGATTTCGCAGGATGAGGAAGGACTATTGAATTTTAACAGCTGGAAATCATACCTGCCATCAGGTGTGAATACAGCTATTCGCACTCTGCTCAGGTCCTGCTGTGCTCTCCCTGCCTCTCCTTGGCAGACCTCACTCCCCAGAGCCTCATCTGTCCCCATCTCTGTGTGCCACTCCCACTGACTTTGTATCATGACCTCAGGACTTGATGCTATCACTGAAGGAGAAACTTGGAAGTTTGACTGGTAGGCACTGCCCATAACCTCAGCAGAAGGAGATTCATACAGAGGAAAGGAGGAAAAAAGCATGACAAATCTTATTTTGTAGAGGGGTTTGCTTTTTTTTTTTTCTTTTGTTTTGTTTTTGTTTTTTGTTTTTATATTTCCACTGCCCATAGTATTTAAATGCTATCTGCCAATGTACATCTTTCCTTCAGCTTCAGTAGGATTATTCATTTTCCTTCAATTACTGAGTCTTAAAAGAGTTGTAAGTAGAGGAAGGCTGTTTGTAAGCTGTTTGCTCACCATTCCTTTTTTGTTGAACAGTTAAGTAAACCATGCTAGATAATTATTGCTTTTCAAGAAAAGAACCATGGAGCACATCTGCACATGGACAAACTGGCATGTCTCAGTGTCAGCCTAAGCAAATAGTGCTTTTTTTTCTTTCTTTTTTTTTTTTAAGTGATTCCAGGTTGTTCTTTCAAGTACAAAAACCAATTGCCAGGAACATCTCAAAACTTGTAAGTTTCATTTTGTTAATTGATTCTTTATTTTGTCAATGAAGCATCTCTCCATGACATCCATGAGATGTTGGATGGTCTCTTCTTTATACTACATTTATATTCAGCAGTATTTCACATTAATCCATTTAATAATTTTTTGTAGATTTGAAGTTGCTGTGGTTTTTCCGTTCATAATTGGTGCACCTATTGTACAAAAGTGATATTTTTCTGCTATGTCCTTGTTAATTATAACTCTAGCCTTCATTTACATAATAAACTTTTTGGGGCAATTTCTTCAGTAACATTTCATGGCTAATAGGAAGCAATTTGCTTTCCTTTATTAAGTACATTAAAACTTCATGCCCCAGACATCATTGACTGTAAACATTTGATTCTGCTCAAATTTAATGCACCAAGGCATTTTGCTCTGCCATATTAGGTTTATTTATGTGCTATGTTCTGGATTGTTAGCTGCTAATGAGACTTCAGCTCTTATTGCTCCGAGGCCTGAACACTAACCTCATTTTAATGAGTTCATTATTTGCTGCCTTCTGAATGGAAGACAACAAATTTTCCTTTTAATTAAAGGTCAAAATACCTCTGGCTAAGGAAAGTGAAGAGGTTATCAAATCCTTAGAGAAAGTAAAAGAATGACTTTTTCTGATTTTGATGCCAAGCATGGGCAGGCCAAATTGAGGTAGAAGGTATTTCTCAGGGGACTGAAACTCCAAATCTAACTAAGCTAAATGACAAACACTAAAACATAGTGGCTAACATTTCCAAGATGTGGTAACCAACACCCACCCTCCAGAAAAAAAAAAGAAAAGAAAAAAAAAGAAAATAAAGAATAAAAAGCAACAACTAAAAATGAAGCACAAAAAACAAACAAACAAACAAAAAAAAACAAAAAAAAACACTTAAAGTTGGCCAAATAATTAAAGAGGCTTTCCTTCTAACTCAGAGGTCCTTGTGGATCAATACTACTACTAGAGTATGAGTCCTTGTTAGCACGTGTGGTGATTTGTAGGATGCAGAGGACAGATGCAGGATGAAGTGAGTCAACAAAATTAATCTCATATTTCTTTTTGGGGAAAGTGAAGCAAATGTGATCAGTGCCAGGGGCTGTTTGTAGTGAGAGAGGTATATGCAACTCTGTGTGTATATGTATGTGCATATGCAGGTAAAAGGGATAAGTGAACCCCTTCTTCGAAAATACATTGCGGAAATTTTAGTTAAATGAAAAAAAAAAAGATTAATTAAAGGAATTAACATGCAGCCTGTATTCGTTGTTGTGCATTTGATACTGGTTACCACTCTAACTAAGGGTGGTGCCCTAACTAAGGGCAGACTAATCTAGAATTAGATTGATTCATGTACCT